GGCACGTTGGATATATTGTTCGGCCACCTAATTTTTGTTAGTCAGACTACCTGATTATAGCTAGCCATCCATGAGTTTGAAGCCAATATCCTAAAGGCGAAGTCCAATATAGTTGATGTTCTGTTATAAATATCTGTCAACAATATCCACTCCATTCTTGCTGGTCTGTTATACATCTTGAAGCAATATATGGTTTATGCATTTGGGCTTATTTTATTATTTTAAATCTTCTGGCAGGATATGTATGACTTCATGGCATTGGATAGGCCATCCACTCCCTTAATAGATCGTGGAATTGCATTACACAAGATGATCAGGCTCATCACAATGGGATTAGGTGGAGAAGGGTACCTTAATTTTATGGGAAATGAATTTGGACATCCTGGTGGGTATACTTTGTATTATTTCTTGTATATTAACATGTGAAAATGACTTTTCTTTTGAATCCAAAATCACATCACTAAATTATATTTCTGTTCAACCAGAGTGGATAGATTTTCCTAGAGGAGATCAACACCTCCCTGATGGCAGAGTCATTCCAGGAAATAATAACAGTTATGACAAGTGCAGGCGCAGATTTGATCTGGTACGCTTCTCTAAAGACAGTTCTCTTAATTTGGATGTAAAGTCCTTAAATATGATGTCCAATTGTCCTTTAGCATCACTTTGATAGACGATTAGGTTGAAGGAATGTTCGATCATGAGTTATATGTAGGAAAAACCAAGAGACTGTAACTTTGCTCTTGTGAAATTACTGACCTGAATTGAAGCAAGAAATAACCTCAATTATATGGCCTTATCTGAACGTTGGTAGGGAATGAAAATAGAAGACTGAGACATATGGTTAATTTGTAGATCAAGGGGAAATGTCTGGAGAAGCCAAAGAGAGATATAATAAAATGTTAACTTCCTTAACACAGGCAGATGAAAGTTATACCATATATTTAGCTATGTTTTAAAGTATCATTATTCATTAGGACAAACATTCACAAAACTTATACTTAAATAAATATGACTCACTATAAGTGAGAATGATTTGCATTATGGAAACATCAAAAAGGTATTTGTACAATGGAACGTAACTTTTTACCAAAAGAGAGAACTGACCAAACCTCAATCATATTGTCGTAGTTACAGTAATAAGATAAATGTTTCTGAACTGAAGCTTGAGATGTAGATATTTCTGAAAGGAGCTCAGGTAGAACCTATGGAAATGTCTAACCATACAATAATTAGCAGTTGCTTAACAGACGGAACATCTAGTATCATGTTGAAGGGTGTTTGGGATTGATCTCAAGAACTTCAAACTATTTATTACAATAAGTCCATTACATTATCAAACATCACACTATTCAATTGTTTACATAATTTCCTCTGCAATCCTGCTCTTAGATATATTTTGAACTTGCTTACTCTCCAGCATTTTGGTCCTGTGAATTACTATACTGCATGGGTATTTAATATAAACTATGGATCTGGTCAAATGTAGTTGAAAAATGTGCAAGTCAGAGCAACAGGCTTGAAATCTCCTTTTTCGTCAATATTCTCTGCTCTATATATCTTGGAACATTCCATCTAATGCCACTCATAGACCATAGTATAGACCTTTGGAGCAGTTGAGTTTTTGTCTCTTGAAATCTCCTTTTTCGTCATTATTGCTCTATATATCTTGAAGCATTCCATCTAATGTCACTCATAGTATAGACCTTTGGAGCAGTTGAGTTTTTGTCTCAATTTTACTTGATGAATAACCAGGGTGATGCAGATTATTTAAGATATCGTGGTATGCAAGAATTTGACCAAGCAATGCAGCATCTTGAAGAACAATATGGTGTATGTATTCTTTGCCCTGAATTCATTTCCTTGACTGAATTTAGGTGGTGTGTTTTCCATTGAGTTGTACTAAAATTTGGATAACTGTATGATATATGTGATGGCGTGAATGTAATTTTCTTCTTTAGGCTATGTATCTGCTGATCCTGTTAGTAATAAGTTGTAAAGGAACAAAGTTGCATCATTTTTTTTTCTTTTTCATTTCTAGTAGGTTCCCTTTTTTTTTCTATCATTCTTTTTCTTTTTGGCGTTTTTTTTTTTTCTTTTTTTTTTTTGTGAATCCTACATGTTGGAAGCATCTCTTATCTGTTCGCCAGTTATTTTTAATGGACTACACTTTACCTATATATCCTTTCTTGCAAGAGAAAAAAAGCAAGACAATTATTGCAATAATGTTACGTAGTGTAGTGCTTTAGTTGATTAAGAAAAGGAAGATTTGGTTGATGCATGTTTCCTATACTGAAATAATTGACAATAGAGTGTTTCATCCCCAGTTAACTTGTTCATGTGCTATACCTTTACTACTGTTTACTGGTAAGTGACGGATAAATAGCCTGAATAGTCAACACGAGCCCAACAAGAAAATGGTTCTCTAGATTGCTTGGACCTTTAAGCCTCAACTGGGTCTCCTTCAGACTTCTTCATGAACATCTAGTCATGTTCGATTCTTTGCTCTCAAATGCCAGAACATGTGAAATATTTCTTGCTCCAACAATTATACTTCTGTAAGTTTTAACATTTAGTGAAGTGGGATAGTACCCACCCCATAAATCACATATGATTGTGGCCTTCTCACCTCTGATAGAATGTAATGATTGACTTAGATGCTATTACGTTCAACCTCTTGAACTAAGTTAACAGTTTGAGTTCAATACTTTGCTTCAGACTATCGTACTCCAAAGTAATTGTCCACACTTGCAGGTTTGAGCACTTTTATATATTCACACACACACCTCACACACATATACATGTGTGTGTCTGTATAATTTTTTTTTTTTTTTTAAAATATTGGTTTAATGTCTGCAGTTCATGACATCGGAGCATCAGTATATATCAAGAAAGGATGAAGCTGATAGGATTGTTGTATTCGAGAGGGGAAACTTAGTCTTCGTCTTCAATTTTCATTGGAGTAATAGTTATTCAGATTATCGGGTAGGCTGCTTAAAGCCAGGAAAGTACAAGGTACATCGAGAAGAAAATGATAATTTG